ACTTCGCGAGGCAGACGACAACATTATGTGATCAAATACACACAACTTGTTAACACACTCCACAGCGCCACCCAGTGCATTTAATTATAACTGCGAGTTAGTGCTTGGGATTTATCATGGATTCACTGCATTTACGGCCAGCAAAGCAATGTAGTAAAATTCGAATAGTATTTTATTTTTCGAATAATAATTACAGATCGAATATTCGAAAATTCGAATATTCGTGCACATCCCTAATGCATGGTAAATTATTTACATTATTAAAAATTGTTGTGTTTCTCTAAAAACAACTCCCCCTTTCACCTCTGATCTGTTGTTAATTGTTTCTTTTTGTATTTGACTTTTAGGATGTTGAACATGATGAAGCCCTAACCTCGATACACAACACCACCCAAGGAATCTATGTGGTCAGACCAGTGTTCATTTCGTTGACGAATAATTTGTCATTTTCGTCAACGACATTTTTTCACAGACAAAAACAAGATGATACCTAAATAAAACCTAGTTTTGAATGACAAAAACTATGACGAAAATCTATTGACATTTTCGTCAATGAATAAAAACTAGACGAAAATGTTAGATAGTGACGATCTGGGAAGCGATCCAGTCAGAACTGATGTCCTACGTTTGTGCTAGATGCGCACATTTGTACTGTAACGTGCTGATCTACCCAGCGGTCTCATAAAACGTTAAAAAATGTGAACGTCTGGGAGAATGAGTAGAGCAGACATATAGATCTGAGTGCTGATGCAAAAAAAAGCTCTATTTCTGTGCGCACACATCCAACCTGAAGCATGCAGCCATGCACATAGACACCTATACAGCGCGCGAGGACTGCATTGAGCTCTCTTTCATTTCTGAAAGGACAAATACACACAACATTATGTCTAAATGTTCGTTTTGGAGAGTATTCATGTAAACTATGTTGGTTATGTCATAAACAGTTGTGAGTGCATCGGATGTGCATCAGTGCATTGGATTCGCATGTCATTGGACATGATCCGATGATGTCTTAAAGTGACAGTGGTAATAAACCTAATGCGGCCCGTGTCCTTAATATTGATCAAGCAACAAAAGAAAAATAGAAAAGCATTCACTGTTTGTTAATAGCTTTAATAAGGATTAATTATATTTAATTCATACAAATAAATATGTCTACTTGAAAGAATAAAGAATGTTGTATGCAAGTAGCTAGTTATAAAGAATGCATATATCATTAATTAAAAAGACGACTTTTTCACTTTAGGAAAAGTGGTTTTATTTATTTAAGATATTTTTTTAAGTCACAGTAGTTAAATCTGTATCTGTATTGCATGTTCAAACTTAAAAATCATTCATATTAATAGGTGAATAGTTGTTTTCTCCAGGAGTATATGGGTTTGGAAATTATGCTTGGTCTTATTCAATGTTCCCTCTAAGCTGCGCGCGTGCGGCCGCGCACTTCTAAAGCGGCGGCCGCGCAGAAAAGAATAAAATGCCACGCAGAGGACTGACACGAAATGTGTGGGGAAATTCCTTTGATTGTAGTTTAAGTGAGAAATAATTGCAGTGCTCTGATCAACCACCGTAGAGTGAAAACTGGTGAATGCAGTTTACAGGTTTCATAGAAAGAGAATGAGGTGAGCGCGTGTGATTGGCAGTGAGTCGTGTGTGCGGACCAAATATTTCAATACAAGAGGCAACAAGAAACGCATAGACGTGAAATAAAATCACATCATAATGTTTTAACGAAGAGTGGTTTGATTAAAGTGGTGGAAATAACGGTTGATGGACACAGAACGGTGACAATTACACACGCACCCGCAAGCAAACTCAAAATACATCATTAGTTTAAATAGATGTTTTTGTGTGTGTGGGAGTTTCAGGGATGGTTAGATTATAAAAGAGTTCACATTAGGGGTGCACGATATTGACAAAAAAGTGATATTGCGATATCGATAATGAATATTGCGATATCGATATTAATTTCGATATTTTTAAACTTATGTAAAAACTACAAAAGTTGATTAATAAATAAAACAAGTTCTTACAACATAAGGTTTATTTCAACTGACAGTCATATTGGACTGGTACAACATGAATAAATAAATAATAACCATGTCTACAGAACAGGACATGTTTTACTGGTTGTATCATATGTACACTACAGTGTAAAAAACAATAAATAAAGAGCAAGTCTACAGAACACACCTGGCCACTTTATGCGTTTTCTGTGATCGGATAGCTATCTGATCGTGAAAAGACCAGGTGTAAATGCCCACAGAAAATGCATGAAGTGGCCAGGTGTAACAGCCCCTTATTGGTGAAACAATGTAATCTATAAATGCGCTATTTTAAGCTGATTTACTCTATTTTGACCGCTATCGTAGACATCAGTGTTAATATTTCAACTCTAAACTTTTATCCCAGTACTTCTATGATAATTTGAATTATTGTATCACAGAAATAATGATACTGGTTGAAAAGGCTTTTAAATGCATTCAATCTCACGTCGCTTTAACGCGTCCACCTGAAAGGGATATTACGTCACTCAAAACTAAAAGATAACAACACATTTCATCCTCTGTTGGAATGAAAGTGGCTAACTTCTGTCAACCTCATCTATAAGCAAGGACAAAAATAAAACAATTTATTTTAATTCTCTACTAAGCAATACATTAAAACGTAGCAAAATTAATAACCACTCTAATCATGAGCACATTGTATTCCCTGTATCTAGCTCAGGAAAAATAAATAGATAAAATAAACTGAATCAATGTCACGTGACCTTAGGCTATATATACACGATGACCGTTATAATTTGTATCAGATGACCGTTATTATTTACTCAACCTACTGTACCCTCAACATTTTTATCAATTATCCCACATTAATAACCTGTAATTAGCAATTAACTGTATATATTTTGTATCCGTTCATTTGTTACACGTGTTTTACTACTGTTGTTTTATTCATTCATTATTAGCCGGCTTAAAGTTTGTTTGTCGTCAGTTCGTCAAGTTGTTGGTAAGTATGAATTAAGCAGCCTTTTGATATTTTGAAGTTTATTATAAAGAATTATTATACATTAATATAACACACAGACACAATAAACCACAAATACAAACCGGAAAAAATACCGGAAAAGATTAGAGTGCGTTTTTCCTTTGCTCGCAAAACAGCTGTGAGTGACGACAACACGGAGCGGGAAAGAAAAAGCTGCTCTGATTGGTTTAGATCAGGGCGTCCAAACTCGGTCCTGTAAAGCCGCTGTCCCGTAGAGTTTAGCTCCAACTTGCTTCAACACACCTAATAAAAGCTTGATAAGCTGGTTCAGGTGTTTAATTGGGGTTGGAGCTGATTTCTTCAGGACAGTGGCTCAACAGGAGCAAGATTGGACGACCCCGGTTAGACGATGAGAAAAGTTAACGTACAAATGTGAAGCGCTGTTCTACTTAACACTGGTTTCCGAAACCTCAGTGGACGTTATCGAGTGTAAAATCACTTCCATTTTGCACACTCAACGGCTGTCTGAAATTGCTAACTCGTTTCCCTTCACTCCTCCGAATTAACTATGAATTAAGTGATCCATACTGTACCATGCAGTGGAAAAGCACCATTAGTAGCCCAATGTAGGGACGATGTGTGCACGAGGGTGAGAACGGCCCGGATAACACTAGCGTGCACGGTAACACAAGCACTAAACATGATGGGCATTATGCAAAACACACTATTTGTTAACATGCACGATTAACACGTCGTGCTAAACACGATTAAGTTACCTTAAAGACGATGACACTCATCAACGTCTTCCGTCGTCGACTCGGACTCCTCTCCTCCTGATCCGGACTACGGAGGCGCGCGCGCACATGACAGAGTGACATAAGCAGCGAACAGCCAATCGCATGCCCTGAAACAGAGAATCGGAATTCACTTCTCGCGAGAGACTAAGCGCTGTTCAATACTCTCATCTGAAGATTTGATTGAAGAATATAAAATACATAAATGCATTTAGACAGCAAGAAGAAAATATCTTGCTATAACAAAAACATTTGTTTGTCTTATTTATACTCCACAATATAAACTAACTAAAGACTCAATTTACTTAATAAAAAAATGCAATAAAACGGCAAAATTGTATAACAAATTAATACACTTTTTTATTTTAAAATGCTATTTATTCCTGGGATGCAAAGCTGAATTTTCAGCATCATTACTCCAGTCTTCAGTGTCACATGATTCTTTTGGAAATCATTCTAATATGTTTTAATGCCCAAGTAACATTTCTTATTATCAAATGATTATCACCATCATCCCTGGAATAAATAACATTTTTAGATATTTACATAAAATAATTTTGTAAAAAAAAAATACAATTGTGTTTATTTTGATCAAATAAATGTAGCCTTTCTGAGCATAAGAGACTTATTTCAAAACCGATACATATCCTTACCAGTCTTAAACTTTTGTGCCTGTGTAGACTTTATATGCAAAAGCCTCTAAGGGGCGTCTGACCAATTCTTATAAAAAGAGCATTTTTATCAGACATTTCTTAGGTTCAGTAATTTCACTTTAATGGAGAGTTATAGGTCCTGACCTGTTAATTTACATTAAAAACATAGGAGCCTGCTAAAAATAAAAAAACTCACCTCCAGACGGAACTTAGAGGCATTTGCATCTGAAGTCTTCATTCTCTGAGTCCAATTGATGATGTTTTGAAGTGTATGTACATCAATTGTGTTAATGCAGATTAGTAACTAGTCTTGGTAGGCCAGTAAACAAACAACAAAAAAGGATTTGTTTCTGTTAAGGTCTTAAAACTATGGCTTGCAATGAACCATCCTATTGGACACTTAGAAGAAGAGCAAAGGACAAGGTGGATCAACAACTGCAGACAATGCAAACTACAACTTGGGGAAAGGAGTTGCATGGCTGCATGCACAGTGACAATACCTGTCAATGTCAAATTGACGATGAAGACACATTTATGGACTGTGTCTCTCAAATTGATGAGACTGAAGGTGTTCTTGAAGACAGTGAATCAGACACGGAGTCCGAATCTGATCCAACTTCCCTGGAAGACGATTTGGCAACTTGGGCAACTGAACAAAAAAATCACACACATGGCATTGAATTCATTACTAGATATACTGCGTCAGCACAGTTTAAATCTGCCAAAAGACTCAAGGACATTGCTGGGAACAATGCGTTTGAACCCTGAAATACAAGTCAAGGCTGGTGGCCAATATTACCATTTCGGATTGCTGAAATCCATTACAGAGCTGCTACATCAGAACGTCGACATTCTGAGCAACATTCACACGCTGGAGCTTCAGGTCAGCATAGATGGTTTGCCCCTCTTCAAGAGCTCAGCAACACAGTTCTGGCCCATTCTAGGAACACTGCAAAATATCAGACAAGAGGAACCAGTGACAATAGGCTTATTTTGTGGCACATGTAAACCTACCTCTCTAACTGAGTATCTTGAAGACTTCATCGCTGAAGTAAATGAATTGGCCAATGGATTCGACTTTGAAGGAGTGAAGTTAACTTTACATCTGTCATCAATGGTTTGCGACGCACCTGCTCGTGCATTCCTGAAAAATGTCAAAGGTCACACAGGCTATCATGGATGTGAAAAATGTACAGAGGATGGCGTGTACCTGGAAAACAGGATGACATTTCCAAGAAGTGACTTGCCTCGAAGAACCAATGAGAGCTTCAGAAACAAGTCCGATTCTGATCATCACCGAGGTATCTCACCCCTTGAAGAAACGTCCCTGGATATGGTCTCTGGCTTCCCCCTCGACTACATGCACCTTGTGTGCCTCGGAGTCATGAGACGGCTTCTCCACTTGTGGCTGAAGATGGGTCCTCTTACTTGTAGGCTGTCGGGTTTTCAAATAAACACATTATCAGAAAGGTTGGTGAATGCGCGAAGATATGTGCCCATGGAGTTTGCACGGAAACCAAGGGCACTGAAGGAAATTGATAGGTGGAAGGCAACAGAGTTCAGGCAGTTTTTACTGTATACGGGACCGGTCATGATGAAGGATCTCCTCAGCACAGAGGTGTACAAAAACTTCATGCTGCTTTTTGTGGGAATCTCCATCCTGTGCAACAACAGTTTCATTGAAGATTACTGTGATTATGCAAATGAAATGCTAGTTCTTTTTGTCACTCACTTTGGGCAACTGTACGGTTCACAGTTCTTGTCGTATAATGCACACTCCCTCGTACATCTTGCAGATGATGCAAAAAAGCATGGGGTTCTTGACAACTTCAGTGCTTTCAAGTATGAGAATCACCTGCACAAACTCAAAAGACTTCTGAGGAAACCAACATGCCCTCTGAGTCAAATAATAAAAAGATTCTCAGAGATGCAAAGAAGCTGCAAAACACCTCAGAAAACCAGGCCACATCTGCTCAAAAAACAGCATGCGAATGGTCCTCTCCCTGCATCCTTTCATGAGGCGACACAATATAAAGAGTTAAGGACAAGCCCTTACACTCTTAAACTAGACCAGGCAAACGGTCACGTCTACATCGGCGGCAAAGCTTCTAAGCTCCAGAACATTATTTCATTCAAGGATGAAGTTTATGTTGCCTACAGTACCTTCAACAACCAGGAATCTTTCTTTGACTATCCTCTAACATTTTCTACACTCGGCATCCATTTAGTTGGCGACCTCTCAACAACCGTTGAGTTCTGCAAGTTTGAGGAAATAGAGAACAAAATTTTTCTTGTCCCATATCAACATCATTTTGTTGCAATTCCTCTTCTACATACAAATTAATTCGTTATCAGTGCTTTTTGTTACATAGTTTATGCATTTGAATTACATAGTTGAACATTTTATCAGAGTAATTAAATAATATGGGTTTCAGGCTTAAAAAAAAAAAAAAAAAAAAAATGTACCTAATAGTGGAGTTTGAGGGAGAAGGTACAACTGGACCAATTGCCAAGTCATGGTACGCAGACGGCTACTCCTGGTGGCCTCCGTATAAAGACCTTGACAGGGTGTTGAAGAGCGTCAGAACCATGGAGGAACCACAGCCAGAGAAAGGGTGGACCCGTCACAGAACCAGAATCCTGCATGAGTCAGGTAAGAGTAAATTATACTGTAAATTAAACATGATCTAGCCCAGCATACCTGTATTTCATTGTTCAGAATCTTAAAAAAAAATTTTTATATACTGTAAAATGTGATCTCACATAGCTCTAATAAACAACATGTAAAAGTTCCAAAACTGTATTTTATTTGTCAGCATCTTTTCAAAATGTGGCCAAAAATTGGAAGAAGGCCAGCTACACATCTGACATAAATTCAGAACCTGAAATTGCCAGAAAAAGGATTCCCAAGTAAGTAACAAGACAAAATAAATGGTTTAACACATGAAAATCCAATAATTAAGGTATTTTTGATGAAATCTCTGAGCTTTCTGACCATTCAGCATATTTGCGTAGCTTTGACTTTATACAGTGAAGAGCATCCAATTGTACTTTTTCTTTGTTTCCCTAGAAAGAAAACATGCTCTGATAACATCTACTCATCAGATGATGAGGCACCAGAACCACCACCCCTTAAAAAAAGAAAAACTGCAGGCAAAGAAAGTGTTCCTCCAGCACCGAAACCTCCAGCACTTCCAAAACGCACCAAAAAAAAAGGTAACGGAAAATAACTTTAAAAAATGAATGTTAAAGGTGCATTGCGCAACATTTAATGTTAAAATACCCGTTTTTCTAACCCATACATGCTTAAACAATTGCATGATGGGCTGAATGAGCTCTTCTCTGATCACTGCGATTGCCTCTATAATCCTGTACAGTAAAATAAATAAGAGGGATTCGGGACGGAATTTGAGACTGGGCGTGACGTCATACGCGTTCACGCTCAGCTGGCTATGTCTGGCAGGTTTGTGTATTCGCCGCCATTCTCCGTATCAGCAAAGATAACTCGAGCGACAAAACTTTATTCAACTTTCGACAAAAGTAGAAGATGGATTCAAAGAGACCGGCTTGTAGTTCATCCAAATGCAGTTTCGCTTGTTGCCAGAGGGGGCATAGTTCTGCAAAAACTCAGAAATTTGCGCAATGCACATTTAATGAAATGAATGCTATGAATAACAATACACTTTCCATGTCGACTCAACCAAAGGTAAAAAAAATATATATACGATTCTGCAGAGGGTGTGTGGGGGTAGGGGGGTTAAAATTACGATTTTGACCTGAGATTTGGAGCCAAAACACAGGGGGGTTAGAAAGATAGCAGCATCGTTATTTTATTTTTACAGAGAGATTGGTAGTCTATTAGTAAAAATCTGTTGACTTCAGCAATCTTTGCTGCACGTGTCAATGGTGACAGTTCCAAAAAAAATCATCCATGACATTCAATATTATACTATTTTTTTATTTTCTGAAATTTGGTTGATTTGATGATTGATGAAATAAGTAAGATTAAAAGTGCATAACAGCCAGATTACAATAAACGAAATGTCCTTATTATTAGGTCCTGTTGTGCAAACTGAGGTTTTCCAGAGCAAAGCTGTAAACCCTTTAAGCAACTGTAAGTCTTAAGTTTCTCTTTTATTTTTTTTACATTTTTTATCCAAATCTACAATGATTACTCAAAGATACAACTATATCAGCGGTTCTTCATCCTGTTCCTTGGAACTATGTAATTGTTGAAACATGCAGCTGCACAAATATATCAAAATGAACATTGCTAATGACCAAATAAACTGTCAACAGTATTTGTCAATCAGCAACAAAGGGAAACGGAAGAGGAACAGCAGACCTGGTGTGAGAGTCTCCCCAGCTTTCAAGGTACATTATTAGTTTTATCTGGCTGTTGGGTATGCTCAAATGAAAATGCTTTTTTGAAGTTTGTAAGTTATGGGGTAATGCCCTGTCGCAATTACACATGTTACAAGTGCAACCGACCCACTCCACCTTTCTCAGCTCCAGTGTGTGTGTCTGAGGCAGAGCGTTACGGAGACGGCTGGAGTGTTGATCCACCGAACACACAAGGTACAAGAGCATAATCAGCGATGAGTAAATCAGAAACACATTCACAGAATTTAAATGCAATATAAAACTGAATAACATCATATTTTTGTTCAATCCATAGAGCACACATTTTCTGTCCTGAGAACATCAGGGGACAACCAAAGAAGAACACGGAGTAAGATTACTGCACATAAATTCACTTAAGTAAATTTTACAATTTGACACCCCTCACCCAAATAGAGTCAGTTAACAGATCACAGTTCAGATTGCAATTGAAATGCACTTTAAAATAGCTGCAAAATGATTTTTGGACAAATGTAGCCAGACTCAAGGCACTGGGAAGACTCAACATTATCCACCCTTGTTAAGATAGATGCTGAAATGAATGTGTCCCGCTGAGTGTGAAGCAGGCCTTAGTGTGTTATTTTGCAAATTTAACAAGTGAATCTTACCTACTCCACCTTCCTCAGCTCCAGTGGGCGTCTCTCAGGCAGAGCATCATGGAGCCGGCTGGGGTGTTGATCCACCGAACACACTAGGTAAAAGAGCATTAATTACAATAAGTAGGAGGAAACAAGACCGGCTTGTAAAAAACGGCTGGTAGGGACTACACAAGCTCCCTCCCCTAAAAATGACATAAACCCTGACCCCGGGAACACACAGTCCATGTTGAGAATAGGAAGAGTTGTTGTAGTAGAGCACATTTGTGAGTCTGCTCAAGCTGTCGCATTCGTCTTTTCACATGCAATACAGTACGTAACACAAATGCAAAAGCATGTCACTCTGTAGGCATCTCACAACAGTTCCCACACAACCAATTTATAGATTATCATGACAGAATATGCTAATTGAAGATAGTTAACTCCACATCGGCAACAAACTCATCAACTGACCATTCCGAAAAATCCTGTTGGCTCTACATGCTGTCACTTCTTTTTGAATCTCTCCATCATTGTCCAAAACATTGTCAGTGTTTTATTATTTTCTGATATTTAAATTAACTACACATTTACACATTTTAGCGTGTGTTAAATTATGTTGGTAACAAGTGAATCTTACCTACTCCACCTTCCTCAGCTCCAGTGGGCGTCTCTCAGGCAGAGCATCATGGAGCCGGCTGGGGTGTTGAACCACCGAACACACTAGGTAAAAGAGCATTAATTACAATAGAAAAGGGAGAAAAAAATCTTATTCACAGCACAGCACAAAATCTAAAACTGTTCATGATCTTTTCCACTCCATAGAGCACACATTCTCTGTCCTGAGACCCTCAGGTGATTGTGACCACCAAGGAAGATCACAGAGTAAGATAAGAAATAATGAAAAATAAATAAAAACAACAAATAACTGACAGTGTCAGACACAGGCTGCGTTTACACTTGGCATTAACATGCTTTCACAGTGATCCGATCAAGCAGATTGGATCATTAGCCAATCAGGACATGGCACATTTACATTTGTTCACATTAAGTGGCCACTGTATCTGGATAACTGATTGGATTTCTAAAGTGTTGTCAATTTTTTGTTGGCCATATGAGTGTAAAATTAATTTGAAGGAATCTTACACTGGTTCAAACTAAGCTTCTGTACTGTATGTTTGATTTATGTTGTGTTTGGGACAAAGCTTTTAATGAAGAGCATTTTTTTTTGTAATTAGGCTCTCTAAGTATATCAAATTTTGGATTTAGATTTATCGTCCAATATATCGTTATCAGCTTTCAGATATAAAGAATTAATGGTTATTGGTTTCGGACAAAATTTTCATATCAAGCCTATTTTGGAGAGCAACTACTCCTAGTCACCCCCTGTCATTTCAAAGATTTGTACAATAGAGAGCATGTCAAGTAGAAACGCCTCATCCATTTTGGGAGGTGCGTGTGCAATCAGCAGTGAGGAGCCAGGCAAAAGTATAAACATTATACTTGTTTCAAACGGATTTGACAGAATCAAGTGACTTCTGCAGCAGACTCAGGCTGCAGGGGGTGCCAGGAATAGTCACACTCAAATTTGGAAATATTAGAACTGTACTCAAAAGAGCACTGATGTACTGATTGGAGATTGTTGTTAATGCCAGTGTAATAATGATTAAATAAACCATACTGTTCTTATAAGAAGTGAACAAAAATCAGTTTTATGCTTTTCGGTTTTATATTTCAGTGTGTGTTAACTTGTGTTGGTAACAAGTGAATCTTACCTACTCCACCTTCCTCAGCTCCAGTGGGCGTCTCTCAGGTAGAGCATCATGGAGCCGGCTGGGGTGTTGATCCACCGAACACACAAGGTAAAAGAGCATTAATTAGACATGAGGAAATCAAACACATTCACAACATTAAAAGACAATCTAATATATATATATATATATATATATATATATATATATATATATATATATATATATATATATATATATATATATATATATATATATACACACACACATACATATAATTACATTATCTGTTCAAACAATAGTGCAAACCTTTTCTGTCCTGAGACCTTCAGGGAACCATCAAGGAATAGAGGAGAGTATGTTTCCTACAAATTATATTTTTACATATATTGTTTTATGCTGTTATGAAAATCATCAGCAGCATTTAAGTGTTTTTTTTACCAAAATCCAGTCTTGAGTATTGTACCACGCAAGTCATTTATCGATTTAAATGATCTTCTGTATTGCAGCTAGGGCAATTCTGGAAACACTAGAAAAAATGGACATGAAGATCAACCACCTGACTTCACTTGTCCAGTCTCTAGTGGGAAACAGGCGCATTCTACCGCAGATGCGGAATGACGAAGAGGATGACGTCTTTCCACTCGCATCTATTGAAGACCTAGACCGGCTGGAACAAAGTTTAGTTGACAGGGGGTTTATGCAGAGAATGGTAAGAATCAACTGAATTTTTAACCTACAACTACTAATGAAATGTACTGTGCATGTTTACATGCTTGTCAAAAGTCTGAAATTATCAAGATTTTGTAAAAAAAAAAAAAAAAAAAAAAATTAATTAAAGAAGTGTCTTCTGCTCAGCAAGGCTGCAATTTATTTGATCATAAATACAGTGAAAACAGTAACAGTTAAATATGATTAAACCTTTCCATTTTAATATATTGTCAAATGTATTTTTTTCTGATCAAAACTAAATTTTCAGCATCATTAGTCCAGTGTTACATTATATTCTAATATTCTGTTTTTCTCATTGGTTAATAGCCATTGTTATTGGTGCTCAATTATTGATAATGGTTCTTATTATTATCAATGTTAAAATAGTTGTTGCTGCTTCATATTTTTGAGGAAACAGTTATCCTGTTTTTAGGATTATTTGATGAACAGAAAGTTCAAATGAAAGTTCAAATGAAAAAATTTTTAACATTGCTGATTAAAATGGTTACTTACCCTAAATTTTTGAATGGTAGTTTATCACAGTTTCCACAAAACTATGAAGCAGCACAACTGTTTTCACCATTGCTAATCAGAAAGGTTTATTGAGCAAATCAGCATATTACAATGATTTCTGAAGGATCAAGTGCTGCTGAAAATTCAGCTTTGCAAAGCAGGAATTGCTTTTCAAAATAGAAAACAGTTCTTATAAATAATATCAGAATATTACTGTTTTACTACGTTTTTGAATCAAGTCAATGAACAGACTTTCAAAAACATTACAAAATAAGAATTATTCCAAACTTTTGACGGATACAAATAAAAGTACAGAAGAGGTCCCTCTATATGCTAAAATATGACTTAAAATGTACCTGTTGAAGGTGAGCAGATTATCCATCAGTGGCGGGCCAACAATGAAAAAGACCGTGTGGAGAATCTGCTTCAAGGTCTTCACCACTAACGTCGCCCGGGAGCTGAACTGGTGCGGGAGAGGAGACAAGCGGGGGATAAAGTCATCGAACACCGGCTCACTCTTAATAGGCAAGTTCAAATGTTGATATGCATTCGATTTGATGGCGGGAAGTTAGTCAGTCAGGTACGTTACAAGTACTTGTTAACATGTTCATATGAGGTAATAATCAAACATGTGGTAATACCAACAGCAACGTGCCGTTTGCAAAAATAGTTAGCAAATATAGCTTGTTAAGAACTTAAATGAGGTTTAAACGTTCAGTTAAATAAGTCTTGGCCAACCACAGAAACGTACACGAAACAACGTGCTCACTATAGTTACCTAACAGGTGATTTCAATCAACATAACGTAATTTCAAAGTTATTAGGCCTACATAACCGATCACAAACGCAATTAGTATAAAACTTTTAATTTAAAGCCAATCTTTCCTCACAACTCGTCAGGACACATGCACGCAGCATCAGACCATCAGCAGTTTTACGTAGACTCACTCAGGAAGAGCTTGACGCATCTGAACTCTCTGCATGTTTGATATTTGACCAATTTATTCGGATAATTTTTTTTAAAAAGTTTTTTATTTTATTTTTTTATGCAGCTTCAGCCATGAGGAATCCCGTCCTGTTGTCTCCAACGGAAGCAGAGGCAGAGAAATACATCAAAGATTTCCTACGCTTGGCCCCAGGGAGGGTGTAATTTATGTTTTTCATATTTGTGAATTAGAGTGTATTGTTTTATTAGAATTGCCTATATGTTAATATGGCGTTCTGTTAATGTGGCCTTTTATAATTAATTAAAAGTGGTAATGAATATGATTAATTGTAAATATGTTGCCTATTAGTAATAAATGTATTTCTAAAAACGACAGCAAATGCGTGTTTTATTCTAGGTTCAGGAAAGACTGCATGTTACTTCACGTGCACAAAACAACTTGTAATAACTAACAGGACTTAGGTAAAGTTGGTTTTATATTCGCATATTCGCACATTCGCGGACTTCCGCGTTCAATAACTCGTGAACTAAACGTTGTTGCTACACACAACGCATATCACAGATAACTACAGATAAAACACTAGAAGCTACAACATAAATTTCCTCAAAACGATCTTACCTTCGCACTGGACAAAATACATTGATCTCTATGAGCAGGCTGCTAAGAAGGGACCATCTGCAAAGTGCAAACCCGAAGGAAAATTCGTTTTGAGGAGATTAAAATATTAAAACAATGTTATTTGTGTAGTAACAATATTCAGCTTACGAGATATTGAACGCGGAACTCCGCAAATATGCGAAGCGAATATAAAAAGCAACTGTACCCAAGTTGCAGACTTGATCATGTAGGACCTTCAGGACCACATAGTACGTGGACAGCACCATGAACATAGTCAAGTTATTTTTTTTAAAATCAACCAGGGTGAAAATAGTTTCAGGTTTGATATTTGCTGAGTATTCACCTAGATCACGACTGCTTTAGTGTACCTTTGTGTAGGCTATTGTACATACAGTACGCAAAAATGTTTTAAAACTTACAGTAATTCTTCACCAAAGACATTTTTTTCATATTCCAAAGGTTGTAGTATGTTCCTACTGACCAGACTGACTTACTGCTGCTACAGGTGGAATTTTGACAGTACCTCCCTTACTGTATGTACTGAAGGGTTGGGGTCAGAATCCCCTGTCTCTTCAATTTAATTATATATCCTTTTATATCCTTTTGAATGATTACTTTATTCTTATTAAAAAATCAACAATCGAGTATGTATCCTAATCAATTCTTTATTCATTTTCTTTTAGGTGCATTCCAGTGTGTGCCCTTGGGTTGTGTTCACATGCAAGCCTTTTGATGATAGTTGTCTTGGGATTCAGAGAGCGGCGAGAGAGAGAGAGACATGCATACATTCAGTCTTTTACAGCCAATTGGTCAAACACAAAATCTTGAACTGTCATTATTTCTAGAAGAGCCCTTAGGACTTTTCCATATAAAAGTCTTTGTCCCTTTGTCCTCTTTTTCTGGACCTTTCCATCATCGCTGTATCTTCTGTATCTCGTCCGCAACACAGACGGTATGGCATTTTTCTCCTTTCTTTTGCAAAGCTCTTTCTAATAAATTTTCAATTCCTCTCTACTCTGCCACCATCATCTGCTTAATAAATGCTTGCAACATTCAGTCTGGTATGTTTTTCTTTATAAACCATTTTCATAATAAAAATATTTATAAAACAAGTTACAGTGTTTTCCTTAATAAACCAGCTTCATAATAAAAATCTTTATAAAAACAAGTTGTTTTTCTTAATAAACTATTTTCTGGTTACAATGATTATTAATACAAGTGTTTTACAGTAAACACTTTCTTAATAAATTGTTTAACAACTACTTATGATACCTTTCATTATAAAAGCACTTTTTATTGGTTGCAATTGTGGCTTACTAACCCATAAATACTTCATATACCAAAAGCCATGATTAGAATAGAATAATTGCATATTTCATAACAATATCCACATATCTTGTCTTAGTTGACTTGTATAAGTTTGAAGGTCAATTTATACATAATTTCACCTTATTTTCATTAAGTGAACATCTCATGTGTATTTCTTTAGCGAGTGGAGTAAAGGGGTATAATATTATCGTTCCTGCTTTCCTGGAGTGAAATGTTTTATCAGCCTGTTAAGGTAGACTGCTGTTCTGATAATGAGCTCAGGCCTTCTTCAGCCTCGAAGAGAACTGTTGTTTGTCAGTGTTCTGTGTGTGTGTGTGCGTTTGATATTCTTTGGAGGTTCTGAACTTTGTGATATACAACATTCTCGTACCCTGGAAGAAGGTCACCATAGACTTGAATCTCGGAAATGGACGACAAATATTCTGATTATTGGCTATATACCCACTTATCTATCAAAAATGTATTATTGTTTAGACTATATGTTGTCTTAGCCAATCAGAAGTAAATGATTATGTAATGCATGTCCTTGTAAAATGTATAATTGTGTGAGATTTTTGTGTAAGGTAGAGTTGGCTTGGGACCTCCTCGTGACTTTGACACTGGTTCTACTAATTTAACTGCAAACTATTCTTCAGTAAAATTTTACTTATTTGATTAAATTTCACGACTCCTGGTCTTCTTTCATCATATCTGATCCTAGGTCTTACAACTGTACCACCCCCCCAACCCACCATCTCCCCCCCGCCCCCCCCCCCCCCCCCCCCCCCCAACAGGACAATAATCAAATCATTTTTTCCTGTTCCAAAGGCTGTAGTGCTTTCCTACTAATCAGACTGACTTACTACGGGTGAAATTTTGACAATAACTCCTTTACTGTACGTACAATAAACTAATGAGTTCAAGAAAAAAAATACTGTAATTCCCCTAAAGTATTTTGTCCCGTTCCAAAGGCTGTAGTGCTTTCCCAGTGACCACACTGACTTACTACGGGTGAAATTTGGACAATAACTCCCTTACTGTACGTACAATAAACTAATAAGTTGAAGAAAAAATTACTGTAATTCCCCTAAAGTATTTTTTCTTGTTTCAAAGGCTGTAGTGCTTTCCTAGTTATCAGACTGACTTACTACAGGTGAAATTTTGACAATAACTCCCTTACTGTACGTACAATAAACTAAAATGTTTATGAAAAAATTACTGTAATTCCCCTAAAGTATTTTTTCCCGTTCCAAAGGCTGTAGTGCTTTCCTACTGATCAGACTGACTTACTACAGCTGAAATTTTGACAATAACTCCCTTACTGTACGTACAATAAACTAAAATGTTTATGAAAAAATTACTGTAATTCCCCTAAAGTATTTTTTCCCGTTCCAAAGGCTGTAGTGCTTTCCTAGTGAC